TATCTTTAATAATAATTATTTGTTATAAATTTATTAGATATTAAGCAATTGCTAAAAAATTAGATCTTTTTGCTATTCTATACTTTAGCAATTAGACTTTGTAGTTTTAGTAATAATACAAACTTTGACAATTAGATTCTGTAGATATTACAATAAATAATTAGATCGTAGCAATGCAAAACCTTTTGTTAAATAGATTTGGTCTATACAATTGCAATCTTGATATTAAACCCTTTTTATTATATCTTTTATATAATTAATTCTCTTTGTAACTATAGATATCTTCTTAATAGTTTTTTTTATATGCATAAATATTATAAATAGTTAGGATTATATGGTTTTTCTATAGATGTAATTTTGAATTCCTGTAATATTGTTTAGAAAAGTAATATATAGTTATAGGAGGCAGAGTTGTAATAATAACAGATTCCTATATAATTTTGAATTGTATTTTTAATTTATATAATTTATAAAATATTAGTCAGGCTGGTGGTTAGAAAATCCCAAAAATATATAAGTATATAAATTTCAATAGATTTTAAAAATCCAAATAAAGACCCAAATTTTTATTTTTAACCAGTACCAAATTCTCGAATTAAGCTAGTCAAATTGGTTTTTTTAAAGCATAAGGCAGGGTTGTGAATAGACATAGTCTAATCAAAAAAATTATTGTCTAATTGTCTAATAGTCTATTGGGATTCTATTAGTCTAATGAGTCTAATGAGTCTAATGTCTATTGGTTTTAAACTAATTTTTTTATATATTAGCAAGATAATGATATCTAAAATTAACCAATCAGGTTGTTTTAAATTATATAGTAATTTGTCTATTGTCTAATGGCTTAATCAGACACCATTAGACCATTAGACTGTCTATTGAGTCTATTGGCTTGTCTATTGTCTATTCACAACCCTGCATAAGGTGTTTATTAGTGTTCCGATCCTAAATCCGACCATCCCTAAATCCAGATAAATTTAGATATTCAGATCAGAGATTTTTACTCGAATTGGTCAAATAAAGATGTGCTCAAAGTAGCTTTAGATCTAAACTGATACGGATTCAATCTGGATGGCCTGTCAAAGAAAGGATCGGAACACTAGTGTTTTTGAATATAGTTTTCAGTGTGCAGGTACTCAATTAATTAAAATCGCATCCTTCCAACAAATTATATAAAATTCGATATGATTTAAAGATAGAGATGCAAACATTTGTTAAGTAAGGGTATTTACCTAGTTACATCATCTAAAATTTGGACAGCTACTCTAGTTACGGCTATGTTATACGTTATTTCATGTTTTAATGTCTGCACCTTTATAGCATTATAGCAACTACCAGAAAAGTAATGTAGCAGTTAATACTAAGTTTTTAGATCTCAATTTAAATCTGCAATCATCGATAACGATAACAGTCAATCGACATATTATAGGGAAATTTTACATGATTTTCAATCTAAAAAACATACATAATCGTATTTTTAATTTTTAGATCTGATTTAAATGAATGTTCTGGTTTAAGTCTGAGCACGTCTACATAAAATAATATCTAAAATGAATAAAAGCAGATTGGCAAGTAATGAGGAAAAAGATTTGGTCAAATGATTAAATACTCATAATTTTTTTATCCAATCAATTCGATGAAAATATGAAGACTAATTTCTTATTATTATTACAAACTAGAATCAATATTATGATTTGTTTTAAATACTTATTATTGTTCAACTTCCTTTGGCGTTTTGGCTTTTATTGATAACGCATGTACACCCGTTTTCAGCTCGTCATCAAGAAGTTGGTATATAAGCCTATGTCTTTGCACTAATGTCTTAAGTTAAAAAACGTTGAATAAATTAGTATAATTAAATTATTCAACAAGCAATCATAAAATTATGGAATCTCTTACTTTTCCTTCAAATTTCTCTGAAACAATTGATACACTAATAATGTAAAATTGATAAGTATCAAAACAAATTGGGTATTTTACTTGTTTAATTCGATTACCTAAAATGTGTTTCTTTACTCTTTACATTTTTCATTGCTTGGTGGCTTGCATGTAAATGAGATTCGTTAATTATTTCTAGAGTTGTTGGATTTAAGGAGTCCGTCAACTAATTTTTTTTTTTTGAAAGAGTATTCATTTACGATATAATAAAAAAATAAAATAAAATAAAAGATAATAATGATAATTTGAACTCTAACCTTTGTTTGAATATTCAAATGTATCGGACCAATTTCATTCATTTTTTTAATATTATGCAAAAACGCGACACGAGCTAAGGAAATAAGGTATAAGTTGTGATGACGCATTAGTGATAGACGAAATTTTTATCGTTATCGTTATAATTTTATAAGTCACGATACCCTAGAAATAGCCAATGGAAACGTTAAATCCAGGTTCGAGTTAGGTTTACTTTTTTTGATGCAGCTAATGTGATTATTTATATATAGATATCAATAATACAATTTATGCGCTATGTAATGTGCGCATTACAGCTATTTTACTATCTTCCCCAGCATCGCCACCAAAATTTTTCGATCACGTGATACCGACAAAATTCTTTAGAGTTCGTTTATGTTAGGATTAGGGTTATATTTAGGGTTAAAAAGAACTGGCATATTGTAAA